AGTTCTCCTACAACCAATAATTGACTACATTAGTATGGCCGACTGTAAGAAACCAAAATCTGAATTTAATTTAGGTAGAAACTAGGTACGACTATAAAATGCCTAAATATTGTCTAACTTATTTTAACTTTTTTAAAGTGATTTTGTTGTTTTTTCATTTAACTATTATTAAGTAGAATATTCTCTTGGGGAACTAAAAAATAAATATAATTTTATTTAAAGGATAAATTAATCAAAGGAAAATAAATACATACTTTGTCGAGCATAGTTATGATCCATTTTATCATAGACAAGTATAATATATTATATTAAAATTAAAATATTAAATGTTAAATAATAACAATAACAGTGATTACGAGTACAATAATACGATATTTCTTTATATCCATTTTTAATAAAACAGAGGTTGGTATCGTTGGTATCGTTGAACTCCCGCCTACTAAATTCTTATCTATCTGTAGGAGAACTGTATGTCCCCGGTTACTTGCATGTCACGTGTTGGGTGGATCTGCGGCATGAGACGGTGTTACGTTTTATGAGCACGTTAAAAATTTAAAATAATATACCATCAATTATTACATTAGGTTGGTACTCTATCGTTATTAATTAAAACCACCGTGTCATCGTGCTTGGCACAATTCATAGAACATAACATAGAAAATATACGAACATGAATACCTAACGTGAAGAGGATACCGTCCTTTAATAGAACCTCAGAAAAGGGAGCTATACGTATTTTCCGAAATATTGTTTCGACCAATTTATATTGAAAAAAGATTTCACAAAAACTTTGGTTCTGTATAGTTATTAGTTATTACACTAAAAATATTCAAAATATGCTATTATTATTAACAAGTAATGTTATTAAATATGCAGCTATTTAAAAAAAATAAATATTTTGTTTCAATATACAATTACTATTTAGGGTTCGAAACATTTTTTAAATATGCAATTAAAATATTCGAAAATGCTTTTAAAATATTTCAACTAAAATGAAATTATAACGGAATATTGTTTGTTTGAATGCCCCTATACGATATTTAATTCTTAAAATATTCCGATATTCTTTTTCTTTTATTTTTTTGCAAAATATATCAAAATACGAAAAAAATGTAGAAACCCAAACCTGTATAATTAATTGGTTTTGTCGTTTTATAAAAAATATTTATATCTAACGAAGATTTGTCCACGTTTATCTGTAAAATATTATAATATGCGAATGCAAAAAGTTAATAAAAAAAAGCATTTAAATTTCACCGTAATAGAATAATATTATTACGATTCGAATGATGTCGTTTTGTCTGAAAACAGCATAATAAGTTACTGTGCATGATAATAGATTTGGATATCTGGCTTAGTAGTTTACAAACTAAGATATTATGAGCTGTGAAAATGTCATGGGAAAATGCAAATTTACGTGAATTGTGTGGATAATATTATTATTTTACTAGTTAAAGGAAACTTCATAATTGGAAAAAAAAAATTATATACACATTTAATAATAATTTATGTTCAAAAGAAAGTAAATTAAACACAACAATATAACATTACATATCGTACTTTATTTGAGTAGGTATTTAAAATATGAATTTATTACAGACAATTAAAAATAAGTTATTTACTGAACTTCGAGTACATTGCATACCGGTAAATTCAAAACGAAAGTAGCGCTATATGGCTCTGGTGATTTGGGTTAATACAATAATATCAGTAAATGGTTACTTAGGAAATAGTGGCCGCGCGTTTGCCGAGTTAGTCGTCGAAGCGAAATACAAATACCAAACTACGCGATGAGCATGAAGTTGCCCCCCCCCCCACTTCGTGCGTACTTTGAAAGCAGTGTAGTGAAATTGCATACTCTGAGTGCCGCGTTAAACTTTTCCCACTAATGCATCATTGTTGTCACGTTCTCGGTGCTCCGATAGATTTACGAACGCATTCGATGATATACCATAAACCAAGCGTAATTTTATAGACTTAGATTTTCGACTGTAGTTGTATGTCGATATACATTCTCTAGTGTAGATATATAGTTATCGAGAAAAACTGATACAGTAACGTCATTGTAGCTTGTTTTTGTCACCAACTACGAGTCCAGTGATGATCACGTCATTATTGTGACTTTGACAGTCAGTGGTTTAAAAAAAGTCTACGGAGCGAACGTAACACCAAAATAATAATAATGCAATTATTATGAGGCCTCGAAGGCAGAATATTCGGTAAATACAGGATATTAAAATAAGAGACAAAATAAATTAAATATCAATACAAATCAATACAAATCAATACAAATCGCATTATTAAAAACGATGAAACTACTTAAACGGAATTGATTTCAGTTGATTAATATATTATAATGTTGATATTATCATTGTAAAATAAATTAAAACATTTAATATTATTACAGTTCATTATCATTCCATATCATTTTATAAATTATTATTATTGTATATTGTTACGTGGCTTTGTGTCTCGAGCCTAATTATTAATATCTCGACCGATACACATCGTCGGTCGTCAAAACCTCGATATTTGTTGTAGTCGCGGAAATAAATACGAAATACTCACAGTAAGACGATGCAGACGTTATTGAATTCAGTTGTGAATTTTTATTATTATTATTATTATTATTATTATTATTTACATTACAAATAAAACGCTGACACGGTTAAACGCCTCTCGACGACGATAAGAGCTAAACGAATATTCTAGCATGACATAAAGCATAATCGTTTTCAAGTGATACACGATTTTATCGCGAAGTTATTGCCAAGGCGATGATAATAATATTATTATTATGATATACATTACGACAAAATTGTACACGTTTCAGCGGCGAAAGAAAATTCAAAACGGTCACCCCGAAGTTGATAAGTTGATCGCGGTTGCGTCAGGTCATGGATCGAAATTTGCTTTATTCAGTTGCGTCCGTCGTTCTGCGAACAAAACTTGATTGATTTAGGCACGAAGGTGACAAATTGTCACGTTATTGATCGTGTCATTAGGATCGATTGATACAAATGATTTGTATGGATTTCACGTTTTGACTCGCCGCCGTTTGTCGTGTGTCTTTTTCTTCTCGCGTCTTAATATCGTGTAGATTATAATAATTACTTTTTTTTATCACCTGCTATTCATAAACCAATGTCAATTAATTATTGTTGGATGATGTAGATCATATTCGATTTCGATATCTATACCCATTTTAACGTCGGTTATGGATTTTGATTCAGTTATTATAATGTCCAAGCATAGATCGTTTCAGTAGTCACTGCAGTCATCGAATAACGATTTCTCAGCGTTTATTCCCTCTCCGAAGAATAGTATTGTATATTATCGGATTACATTAACATCATAATTTTTACACCGGATATGGTCATTAAAACCACGTTTCGTGCAATCCTTTAATTGTATTATGTATTATACGCGACTACAACTCACTCAAGGGTACGAGTCAACACCGCGGTCCGCCGGCACGCGACCGAACGTTACGATGTCATTCGCAGGAAAAATATTTAACGTGATGAAGCGTATACAAGACGCGTTAATCCGTCATTACATCTAAAATGACTGTCGCCAATTGATATTTAGATATCGTAAAAAGTAAAAACTTAAGTCACAGTATAAATACATATATCTGTGATGCGTTTGCAGGATCGATATCGTGTGTTCGGGAATTGAACGATGAGTAATATTGCGTACAACACTTTTTGTATTAAATATTAAAAAATCTACTCTACTCGTATTATGTTATAGAGTCCTGCAGGATACTTTTCGTTTGAACTATGTATATATTATGATTCGGTGTGATAGTGATAAATACAAGATAAGAGATTGTGAGTACAAAATATATAGGTACACAAGAGACGTTGAGCACAATGGAGGGCCGCTAAATGGAAGCAGGACCGAAAAACTCACAAGTTCGGTTGATGCACTCGCACTCGATGGTACGCTTGCACTTGATGATGCACTTGCACTCTATACGGGTGCACTTTCAAGTTTAGCATAAACTTATTCGCAATATTCTCTTCAGATTCTGACTCAGCTACAGCGCAACTTGCAAGCTGAGTAAGTGGCACACTCGAGACTCGACTTCGGTATGCACGCACGTAATGGTATAAGCTCGTGCTGATGACACTGTCTCGCTGACTAATATATGACAGGTGGCGTTTTCGAAAGGAATCGCGTTACTGAAGGTTTTCTCTGTATATCATGTCAAAAGATAAGTCAAATTTTTAGCCATCCGTCGTTTTCGGTGGACAAGAAAAGAAAACCGTTTCCACTTAACCTCGAGTTAAAGTATTTGCAGCAATAATGGATGCAAAAATAATATTCACCATTTAAAGAACAAATAATTATGATCCATGTGTGGTGTGTGAATTGGTGTTGTCGTCAGACGAACCACTACTCATTATATTTGAAACAAAATTTTAAAAACTAAATAAAATTTTATTTTTAATTGGTACCAAACCGAGAAGAATGAATGATGTGAAATAATGATATTATTAGAATATTTTTACGATCGCCACCAATGTGATACGCTGTACGTGAATCGTTTATCGTATACTCGTTTATTGTTCCGTCAGAAATAACCGTGAAAAATCGTTTGCTTCGAATCGCATACATCGCAAATGTCTAGTCGAAATCGATGAAAAAAAGATTACACTATCC